TTTTCAGCTTGTACTGTTTCTCAGACACTCTGGACTTCTGGCCATTGTTTTGATTTTATCGACCTCTAGGAAAGAGATTGTACGAAGCCCCTCTGTTTGAATGGATTTTACTTAATATTAGTTCCTCTCTTCAGCTAATTAATTGATAGCTGTCTGGAGGCGCGGAGTAGCGCGGCACCGCTAAGCGGTCCACACCGACCGGTAGCCCGGAGGCGCGTGTCGAGAGCGCGCTCCGGCACACAGCGTGCTGAGCGAGGACGAGACAATGCACACGCTCAGTAGCGCTCAGTTATTGATTGATTGATTGGCTCTCGAGTTCTTAGAATCTTAGAGGTTTCACTGTGAAAGATACATACTAATGGACGGTTCCGGCAGTGCGCGGTTCGTAAAGGAGTAAGGAACTTGGTATCGGAAACGGTACTTTATTTCCCCCTATTCCAAGGAGTGTTCTGATACGGAATGTGCTGTTTCGGATATTACTTCCTCTGTAATTTTTCGATTTAAGGGCTTCTTGTACGTCTTCACATGCGCTCAAACGGTGAGAGATAGAGGCAAACAGACAAAATTTCAGCCTTAACGTCTGAACTGTAACAAGTTTACCCCTAAGAGATCATTAAAAAAGGAAAAACTATTGTTAACTTCTTTTGCTTCCCTCTTTTTCTTTCATACCCCCTTTCAGCCCCCTAGGGGTGGTTGCCAGGATTTACCGTAGGCGTTTCGTTTTCTAGAGGTGAACCATAAGATAACCTGAAAATTTTGAGTCTTTGGGACATCTCCTTCTAGTGGAACAGATAGACACACACAGACACGAGGTCGTTTGCAAAAGACCGCGGGATAGCTTTTTCAAAGCAGAGGGCGACTGTTTTGGTAAACACAACTTAATTTTCCAAAAGCCATAGACTTTTAAGAGATTGAGCAGTGCTTTGTCTTCTGCGCAGGGAAATGACCAAACTTCCTGTCTTTGAGGGTCTTGCAACCAAGGCCCTGCGCCTGTTGCGAGCCGACCTCTACTACTGTGATGGTGCTAATCACGACGATGGGCCGCTTACCCAACACCTGCGATGGTGGGTGCAACTTCTAGACGCAGGCGAACTCCCTGGAAGGACAAACTATCTCATGGCGCTTTTTCGGCAAAGCATTGTAAGTGGCGATCTACGCGAGGTTGCAGATTATGTGTGCTCGTGTTGTGGCGCTTGCCTTTAACTGTGTCTTAGTAACTTATTACTAATTATCGCTTTTGCTACAGATTTTAACGAAAGTAAAGTTATTTAATATATGTAATAACAGTTACATGGCACGTTAAAAATGGTGGATACCAGAACACCTATGCAGTCTTTGCACTTTTAACTGTAAAATGCTTCCAATTTTATAATACAGTTAGACTCCGTCTGAATTATCATTATCTGTCCGGTCCATCGGTCCATTTCCTTCCGTGGCCTTTACACCCACTCAACCAGAAAGACTCACCAGGAAATAAAATGAACCACGCTGATTGCTGATGATACTTTGGACGGAGGCTTACATTCATTTACTCCTTGACATCTTTTTGACGTTGTGGTTGTAGACGAGTTTGGTCATTGCCGTGGCGGTGATGGTGCAGATGATTTACGACACTGCCGTCACCGGAAGTATGTTTGGGTTTCGGATCGGCCTCGCCGTGTACACGACCATCGTCGTCATCGTCTTGTTCATGCAGCGGCGACGCGGTATCAAGGCAGGCTCAATGCGGTTCAAATCGGGGTTTGTGTATATAGTGCCCTCTAACTTAAAAGAACTTTGTTCATGGATGCCTTTATTAGGTTGGCGTCTGCCAGCTTATTGAACTAAGCACCTCCCTTGATATCCACGGGCAGGCGCAGACTAAGGTAGAGACCAACGCCAGTTTCTCTTGGAAGTAGCAAACGCTCACGGGAAAAACAACGTTTTGGTTTTCTTGACGTTTGGAAAAACCAATACGTCTTATGGAGAAAAAGCCTGGGAAATGCCTTGTTCTGTTCAAACGTCGTGAAAACCAAGACGTCACTTTTACCATGCTACTATTTTTTATTTTTTATTGCGAATACTGCTACATTTTAAATAAGTGTTCTAGCTCGGAAACGCTCGGTTCTTCAGAATCACATGGCTGCCACCGCCCACCGCTGCGCCAAGCTCGTGCGCTTCTACGAGGCGTACGCCTGGCTGGCGCAGGCTGCCATCTTCACGGCGCTGATCGCTCGGAACCCTACCTGGCAGTACCACGCGGTGGCCGGGTTGGAGCCGGTGCTTGGTGGTCAGCGAGCCACCCAGTTTCAAAAGCCACGTCAGATTGACCCTAAACTTTTCACGCTGTAGTCCAAATTTAAGCACGAAGTAGTCATTTAGACTTCGAAACGTTGATGACCTGTTCGTCACGTTTTCATGTGTGTACTGGGCAATTAAACACGAGAACCGAAAACAAACAGAGCTTATGTCTACAGAGCACCTGGAGGTCGCAGCGAACATGCTCCGTTTGGTCTACCTCGCGTTCCAGTTGTTCACGGGGGTGTGTGCCGTGGTGGCCGACTACATGGCGGTCGTCCTCCTCCTGGTCATCTACATCTCTATGGGGGACATGTACGATGCCTTGGGCGAGGTCCTTCAGGTATCATCAGGCAGTACAAGAATTGTTCTAACGCGAGGGTTGGCAGGTGGAAATATCTTTCCTTTGTTATCAAATGAAAGACATAACGATCAGGACCGACTGACATCCGAGCGGCATCACCAACCTGCCAACCCCCGGCCCTCAATGCCTCCTGCCCACCAAATCGTCCCTTGATGACCATCGCGACCCCAGCGGACATGTGGAACTCACCACTCACACAATGGGCTAGGCTGCAGTGAGCGGTTAGCAGGTCCCCCTTCACCCCTCTTAGAACCGCCATTGTGAACTAGACAATAGACTACCTGTCCCGTGCCTGCCAGGGCGAGAGAAGAACAAAAGCTCTGGAAGTAGTATGAGAAGTTCGTCGCCCGGAAGAGACGCGAACGCCAATTTTGACCTCTGTTATTACTCATGTGGCATTGTCGTAGTATACAATTACTCGAAATGCATTTTAAACATCAAACTCGAGGGTTCTCAATGCGTAAATTGATCATACGCGCATACGCGCCTCTTACGGGCGACGAACTTCTCATACCATTTCCGGAGTTTTTGTTCTTCTCTCACACTGGCAGGAACGGGACAGGTAGTCTATTAGATAACTCTAGACCAAGACAAGGAAATCAGTAGACGGAGTTGCACGCGGATAACAAAAACAAGGAAAAAGATAGACGGAGGACGGAGTTGCTCGCAGAAATAAAAAGAAAAGACTAGAACGGAACCCGGACGACGACGACGATATTCATTCAATGGCTGATCTTAGCCATGTGGAGAGAGGGAGCCGGCCCCAAGGCACGGCTACAGGTGGACTGGACTACTCCATCTTCGTACTCATACTTCTTTCAAGAGAAAAGACTGACAGACTGACGAAACGTAAACTGATGAAACGTAAACGAACAGGCTCCTCGAGCACTGCTGATCACCGCACTGGGTGCAGGGTATCAGTGGTAGCCTACAACAGTTGTACACCGAATTAGTCTCAATCCTCTATGTATTATTCCCTCGTAAACAACCCAAGTCGCTTACCGAGCTCGGCTTGAGGCTGAGCGTGTGTCGTCCGGGTCGTCTGGTCGAAGAGTGCTGAGCTGTGCTGCTGCCCCCCGAGTGGAAAGCAAGTCTGTAAATATGACGTATTTTTGTCATTTTCCATCAGCAAGTCAACAGTGAACTTAGACCAAAAATACGTCAAAATAACATCAGATATACGGAAACCTATTTGGCGTTGAACTGCTGTAGTTTTGACGTTTGTAAGGTAGTAAAGGTGTGCAGATTTACACCAAGAATACGTCAAATTGATGTCCACCGACAGAGAGGGCTAAAGAAAAACTGTCCGGACCGGACGCTGCGGTGCGGAGTCGAACTCACGAACCTTAGCGTCTCGGTCTGTTGCGGTATCCATCCACCAGGCTACGGCGATCCCACTCTGAGCAAGCCGTCCCCTTCCAGTCAGGCGGCAGAAGTGGAGGCTCGAAGAGACAGTAGCTGTCATTTGGTGACTGGAAGGGGGACGGCTTGCTACCTGAAAACGGAACGTTGCATGTTTGTGTCTGATGTTTCGGCATCGTTTTCATACGTAGGTTTGTCTTTGTGTTTTCAGACAAGGCCCTGCGACACGCTCTTGGCGCGGCAGCAGAGCGTTCTCACGCAGGCCTCCCTCACGGTAGACGAGGCCGTGTCTGACCTGCTCCCGCAGGTCCTTATCGTGAGCGTCGTGGTCCCACTGCTTTGCACCGTAGAGGCGAGTTAACTATATACTAGAGTTTCCAGAGGACCGCCACCATTGGCACCATCGAGCGCGTCAAACGACGGCACTAGTTCGAACAGGCATGAGCCCTAATTTCGGACATTAGGGATGATAGCCGTTTTCTGTCAGTTCTGTGGCAAGTAGGGGCACTTAAAAACTTGCACGTCGTGTAATGTTCTGACACTTTATCATTCCCATGCCGAAAGTTGACACTGGGCGCTTGCCTTATCATAGCATTATCCAAGTCTTGCACGTGGCCCAAGCTGTCATGTTCCAGTCCAACAGTTGGTTGTCATCTGCTGCGTACATTGTGTGTAGTTGATGGCGGAACGGATTCCGGCTCTAGAACTTTAGCAAGAGATGCCACTCGTATTTCTAGGATTTTTTCAAATGCACCTCTTGTCTCAAGTGACACGCTAACCTGAATGAAGTCAGAATCAAAAGCCTCTTGATCTGAACTGGAAGTCGGAAGTGCTCGTAATTTTTGTACGCTTCTGAAACCATTTGACACATTACGTGACAAGCACAGGTGTTAGCAATGAACGACTATTTAAGAAAACCAGTTTATACAGACTCGCCAAGTACACTCCCGTTTCTCAGTGGAGTCTTTTTCATAATATTCTTCGTCATGTTCCTCACTGCCTTCTCCCCTCTTTTCTCTTTCTTGCGTTTGCTTCGTTTTCAATTTGCTGGTCACGACTTTGGCTAGATCAAGCAATTATACTCTCTCCGAAGAGAGACGTGAGGTGGATTGCGACAAACTTATGAACTCGCTCACTGACCACATAAAACTCCATTCTTAAGCTGTTTGAAGTACTTTCAACTGTTGCTGATGCTGAAGCCACACTTAGGCACTCAACTCGATGTGCCACACCGCAACTAAAATTTGTGGCATTTTCCAAACAATAACTGCCACCGTCGTTTTTAGCCAGCTCTTTTGCTTAAAAGCTATATAAGGGGACTTATGCCGCCACCCCCCCCCCCCCCCCCCTGTGTGTCCGTCCGTCTGTCCTTTTGCCAAGAAGGACGTGAGCAGGAGGTCTGAAGTTTTCAGGGTATTATTGTTGTCACTTCTGGACAACGAAACGGTTGGTGCAAATCCTGGCAACCACCGCTGAGTGGGTCTGAGGGGGTAACAAAGAAATAGGAGTCGGTCCAAGAAGTGGGACTTTTTTATGGTCTCCTAAGGGGTAACTTCGGCGGGGGCGGTTATCGTAAGCGAGGCTCCACGTGCCCCTGCCCGGAAGGGGGAAAGGACGGACGATACTCGCATGCAGTTGAACTTGTCAGTGTGCTGTGCCTTACCCTACCAATACGCTTGAACGGCTTGTCGTGTAGGCTGGGTGGTAGTGTGCTTGTTTGCCCTGTTTTGCCTTGCATGTTGGCCTTCCTTGCTGTGCTCTCTTCTTTGCCTGCTTGTTTCACCCTCTCTTCCCCCGCAGCTTACCCCGAGGATCCCAGGTTTGATTGATTAATACAACTTCTCCACGTACAGGTTTTTTTATTTACTGTATTGGGTCATGTTTTTACGATACGGAGTGCTCTACGGTCTACAAAATAAAACAAGAATCTCAAATGAAATAAAACAAGAATTTCCAATGAAGACGACCAATTAAATCAAACAAGCAGCACCTGCACCCCTTGCGCCTGGAACTATTGTCAGGTCTACCCTCTTCCCCTCTCCCCCTTCCCACCCCCGGCCTCCAGCTAATAGCCAGCCGACTACACTACACCCTGTCAGATGAAAACTCAAATTAACTTTGCATCTTTTTCATCAAATAACTCGAGAGAAAAACAAGCGGGCCCGCCCTTCCACCAAACGAAGTTGCCATCGTCACTTCGCTCCGCAGGCAACTTCGTTCGGCAGGGGCCCAAAAAAAAATCGAAAACTCCATCGGTGTTTTTTTAGATAGGTATTACGATGCTGGTTATGGTGCACTTTGTCCGGGAGCTCTGCGATGTCGGGAACCCACAACGCATCGGCCTTAAAGATTTGGGCCCGAGCGGGGTCCGAGCGGGGCGGCGGCACGCGGACGGCTGTAGCGGCGGCGGCGGGTGGCGCAGGTGAGTTATGTTCACATCAAATGTAACCTAGGGGGCCCTCTTTTGCACACCACCTGCCCGGTAGCCGGAGTGGCCGTGTGGTTTGACCTGGCGAACGAGTTTAAGTTCCCCGGAGTAGTCATTTTTCTATACTGACCACAAGCAGCTATTGAAATTCAGACTCGTCGTTCGTGACATTTCCACATGCTGTGTAGCTTTTCACAAGGGCTACTCCTCGTTCTGCCACATCATTTACCACTTGCAATGCTTTAACCGTTTTCAGTCCATCTATACTAGCGAAAGATAACATCTGAAAAGATGGCCGTAGTCGGTAATTTCGTGTGCGTTTTTTTATTTTCATGTGTTATGTTAAGTTACGTGTCTCCTGTGTGCTCATATGCATGTTAGAAACAGTATTTTAACTGGTTTATGTTTTCTGTACCACTTATCGCAACTTTTAGCCTTACCCCGGGTGTCACGAGATGCATTCAATGAAATTGGCGGAAGGTGACTTAATTTTTGAATGATTAGGAGAATCATTTGTGAAGATAACAAATAAAAATTGTTTGGAGGAGTTTCATTGTATTCTCGAGATCAACAGTTTTAACAAATCAATGAGTAATATCTGGTATTGAAGAAACATTGAAACACTGAAACAATCAAACACTCAAATTTTCAGTTTTTAACAACTTTAAAAACATTTAAAACATAACATGAGTAACAGAATATATTATTAATCTAGTTCAAATTTTATTAACATTATCAGTTGTTGTTGGAAGAATTAAAACTATTGTGTGTAGTTTATTTTCAATAATAATGAGTGACAGTAAATATTTTTTTCAAGCAGTTTGAACAGAAAACTGACTCAAAATGAATGTGGATGACATATGGATCGTGCAGAATGCTGATGTTCATACATAGAGAGGAAATGTGTCAATCAAACTTACTAATATTAATTACAACATTTTGTGGCAAATATTATGATTTTTGCATGAGATTATTAAAAGATAGATATGTAATTGATTACATAATTTAAAAATCACACAGCTAAAACATATGAAGTTGTTCCACTAAAACATATTGATCAGTGAGAAAATCGCTGACTGATGCAGAGTTGGAGGCGTAAGAGGAGTGTTATTTCTTCTCTTCGCATACTTTTCTCTTCTTGCAGGGGAAGTTGGTGTTTTATGTATATTTATTGCTGATAGATTTATAATTCTCCCATATTTGATGTCGTTGTTGAGAGGTAAAATCACTGCAACACGGCATACTGGTAGATCAAATCGTGATATGATGTACATGCCCATCAGGTCTCGAAACAGAGGAGTCTGTTGCAGTTGTTTACTGACGTTAATGTCGAAGTTCACCTGTATATCAAAGAGAGACAGATAAAAGTTTAAATATTTATGGATCAGTATGTGAGTGTAAATTATTATAACTGGTGTTACTTAAAAATGAATTACCTGGACAAATTGAACATTTGGTTTTCTGGGTGCATAGTATTCAATTGTTGCGACGTTCATGCATGTATTAATTTCATAATTGGTACGTTGTATTTGCTCATTATTAAGGTTTGCAGTGCAATGAATAAATATGTCAATATCGTCAAAGACATCAGTTAAATTTGCAAGGTATGATCCATATCCACCTGTTAAAAAAAGAAAATGTAGGAATGTAATTCTATTTTAAGTTGCAATAGTAATAATTGAATTTTGCACATTTTTCACACAGTGAAATAATGTTCTTGACATCTTTTTGCATACCAGGCCAATAAAAGATCTTTTGTAGTGAATTTTGATGGTAGAATGAGCTGATATTTTTCCAACTCAATGTTTCGAGAAGGATGTTCATACCTTCTGTAAAGCAAACTATTGTAGACAACAAGAGAATTAAATTCTAGCCACAAAGATCTGGTTTTTGGAATGCAGCCTATAATTTCTTGTAAATTAGGTTTCTTACTCTGAGTTGGAAAAATATCAGCTCATTTTACCATCAAAATTCATCCGTAAATTTGTCATTGAACCCCATGAAAATTCAGCAACAGGTAAAACTTTCTGCTGTTTCTAGTGGAGTCCCACTTCAATGAGTGATAGTATGTGAAGTTGTAGTTTACTTACCAGCAACGTAGTACTGGTGTGATCGTGCACACCCTTTGCATTTAAGCGTTTGAAAAATTTTGAGGCTTCTTCTGATTAGTAGGGGATACAGTTGCTTATTTGATCCGAAGTCAAAGTTTTGAGATACATGAATTTCTGGGGCAACTTCTAGCATATTCCTTAATTTTTGGCACAAATCATCACATGGCGGTGGATATAGACTGTTGTACACTTTTTCCTTGTTCTGTTGCTCCATGTTTAATCACTTAATTCACTTTTTTCACTTAATCTTTAGTGTTTCACTACACTGACACTTACACTGACTGAGATTCGAAGCAACACTTATGCGGAGGGAATGCAAAAGTCCATTGTTGTGATAACCGCTCGGTTTGTTCGTTGGCGGTGGTCAGTTGTACCAACCCCTGCAATTATACTTTCCTTTTTTATTTGTCGAATTCATTAATTCAGTTCAGTTTTGTATTGTAATTCTGTCAGGATCGCATTTTATAAACAGTTTATTGGCTGAGCGATTAGCGAAGCCTATTACTCCAGTGATGATCAAAGAGTTTCGCGTCTGTCTGTCTGTCTGTCATCACGATAACTCGAGAACGAATTGAGCTAGTGACCTGGGATTTTCAGGGTCGTTTTGTGTCATAAAAAGACAGATCAAGTTCGAAGAAGACCATTCTAGCTCAAAAATTGGATTTAAAAAAAATCAAAAACCGCAGGTTGCAAAATGTATTTTTTCAAATATTTTTTTATGGGTTCCTAAGGGGTAACTCGTCAAAGTAAAGTCCCGTGAGCAAAAATTTCGTCCGTTTTGCTCTATCTTGTACCCTTTCGGCGCTATGGGGCATTTCTTGGCGAAAAAAACGTGAAAAAGACAAAATGGTCCATTAAATCGTAAGAAGGCTGCATGTCACAGAATTGTAAAGGGAGTAATACTTAAACCACAGGTCGCACTACACCCTCTTTTGGGCATAAGGGTCCCTAGATTACATAGTATCTGTAAAACGTTGATTTTTACATAACAATCTGTCAAAATTCAAACTTTTAATGAAAACCGTTACCGAACAGCAGAAGTTTCATGTCCCTACTTTAAGAGTAAAAAGGCCCCGACAAATGGTTCGAGTACGTCAAATTTTGGCCCCGGAA